CTCTTTCCCTGAAGAAGACGAGAGACATACATGAAGAATATCATCAGGAAAAGGAACTCAGACTAACTTCCCCATGCCTTAGTTTCCTCATCTGTGAATGGGATAGTTGTTTGGACTCTAGGGTTAATATATGTATACAAGATAATGTGTGCAAACCTGGCACAGAACAATAAGTGTTGCTGTGATTGTCTGGTATTCAATAAATGTTTGTGGAGTAAAATGAGGCAGGTGTAAATGATGGAGTGAGGGACGTAGCCAATGAGTGAGTCTAGAAAAGGAGAGAGAGAGAGAGAGAGAGAGAGAGAGAGAGAGAGAGAGAGAGAGAGAGAGAGAGAAGGTGAACAGATGAGTAAATGAAAGAGTGAGCAGAGAATCAAGAAAAAGACAGATCACCCAATGTAAAAATAGGAGACTGGAATAGGTTTTTCACAAAAGAGGATTTCCAAAGGGTCAGTAAACACATGAAAGCTACTCAAACTTTTGTTAGTCGTTAAGGGAAAGCAAATTAAAACCATAATGAGATATCAATCACATCCACTGGAAGGACTAAAATTTAAGAAACACCTGACCATACCAAGTGTCAGTGAGGATGTGGGAAACTAGAACTCTCATATACTGCCAGTGGGAATATAAAATGGCGCAGCCATTTTAAAAAATTTTTTTGGTGCAGCCATTCTTGAAAAGTTTGGCAGTTTTTCATAAAGGTAAACACACATCTACCATGTGACCCAGCCATTCCACTCCCCCATATTTACCCGAGAGAAATGAAAGCAGATCTCCACACGGAGACTTGCAGAAGAATGTTCTAGCAGATTTATTCTTGAGGCCAAAAAGGAGTATTGTTTGTAACAGCAAAATATTGGTGGAAAATGCTATCAATACTGGAAAAGTTAAATAGTTCTGTAAGTGTCCTCATTTAAAAAAAGCAAAGTTCAGAAGTGTACATAGCATGTTACCATTTACACAAAAGAAAAAATAAAAATGATGATGATGATGATAATAAGTAATAATGGCATCTACTATCTGCCAAACACTGTTCTAAGTGTCTTACATATATTTGGATATGACTTATTATCCCTCTTTTATAATTGAGCAAATTGAGGCTTATGTGTGTTAATTTATGTGTAAAACCCTGAAAAGAAACATATGCAATTATTTGGGGAAACTTGGTGGATAGAACGCAGATTTTCACCACATACCTCTTTAAATTGTTTAGTTTTGGATCCATGTGAATATATATGCAACAAAAAGTTAAATAAATTTAAAAATTTTATTTAAAATGAATGGAAAAGAGTTGGTGGGTGGGTAAACATCTAAGCCAATCCCTGCCCAGGAAATTCCCTTCCACAGCACACTGAAGAACTCAGGACTCACAGAGTTGAGACAAGATGGCTTGGTCTCCGAGAAGGTCCTCGTGGTAGAGGCTGAACCAGCCCTCAATCACCAAGTGAATGAACCCACACACTGCAAACCAGCACAGGGACAGTCTCCGCCAAGTCCCCAGTGGGATGACTGCAGCATAACCTGACAACAGCCATGTGGTCACAACTAAGACCCCAGAGATGGAGAAGAGGCCAGCCAGGAGATGCCAGGTGGGGCAGTCATTAGGCACAAAGTTGTCCAGCCTCAGGTGCCGAGGCCAGTATGGGTGCACGGGGCTGGCATTGGTGGTCATGCCTTTGTAGGCTGATGGAGGTGTGTGGATATGTAGAAAGGAGAATAAAAGGAAAGGAAAAACCTGAACAAATAGAGAGCACAGAATGAGATCATAAAATCAAATCCAAATAGTTTATTATGACAAGAAATGTAAATGGACTCAATTAACCAATTAATACAGAGATGATTAAAATAATCTAATTATTTACTGTTTTAAAAAACATGACTATCAGGCCACAGAAAGACTGAAAGCTTGTTCCAGCCCTCCGGGAGCCACAGGATGCGGTAGACACAGGAACTAGAACAGGTCCCAGCCCTCATTGGTCAGTTTGCTGGGGAAGATAGGAACCAGGCCCAGTCTCTGCCCTCATTGGTCACAGTCTGGTGGGCAGACACAAGAATCATACTAGGTCCCAGCCCTCATTGGTCACGCTTTGGTGGGGGAGCCACCTGATCCCCGCCCTCAGGGGTCACAGTCGGCTGGGGGAGACACAACGACCAGGTAAGGTCCCATTTGCAGGGGTCACTGTCTTGCATCATGCAACAGAAAGCTATTACCCTCCCCGTAGTCCTGGAAACTGCAGGACAGAAGAGAGAAGACTAATCAGAACGACGACCCTCAGGTTCAGGGTGTGGGATCGCCCGACCCCTCCCGAAATTGCGCAGCCTGCGGCTAACCTGCAACAAAGAGGAGCCTTGCGCGGGGTGCTAAAGAGAAAAAGGAGGGTCAAATACAGAGACCACCAATCAGAACTAGAACCCGCTAGTTCAGCTGCCCAATGAGAAGGCGGATCTTCTGTCGTCCGGACGACCGCGCGGTAGCCGGGGGTCCTGCGCAGGCGCGTGGGGGTGGCGGGGGTGGTGGGACGGCGCGGGGGGGGGGAAGGGCAGGGGCTCGCGCAGGCGCGCCGAGGGCTGGCCGTTTTGCAATTGAGAACTAAGGGATGGAGGGGCAGTGGTACGGCGCGGGGGGGGGGAAGGGCAGGGTCTCGCGCAGGCGCGCCGAGGGCTGGCCGTTTTGCAATTGAGAACTAAGGGATGGAGTGGCAGGCCAGGCGGAGGGCACTCACCCAGCAGCGCGGCTGCAGCGGCCTCTCCTACCGGCTCCGGGGTCTCTCTAGGATCGCTCGCTGGCTCCGAAATATCCCTAGTTCAAACCCAACCCCTCACAGGTTCCGCCTTACGGAACTGGCCAATGGAGGGGGTGGGAAGGAGGCCAGTGCCGCTCCCAACCAATAGTAATTCTCTGTGCCGCCGACCCCGCCCTCACGCGTTGGTACCATTTTCGCTGTTGGTTGAGACCCAGTCAGGCGTGGAAGAGGCTGGAAGGGCCAAGGTTGGTGGGCGTTTTCGGCGGAAGCCAACCTGCAGCGCGTCGCGGCTTCAGTTTCCTATCCCCTTATAAATCACATCGGAAATCGGGTGTTTCTGTGCTGTTGCATCAGCATTGCGTTGTGTCCTGTCACCTTTGCCCTCATTTTCAAAGGCAGAGCAACGAAATCTTTTCCCAGACCAACCTTCAATCCTAATCCCCGAATGGGCAAGGAAACTGTTAATACAACAGGCAGATCAAATCCTACACGCTGCCTCTGCCTCTCCCTCTGGCCATCTTCACCTCTCCTGACTTCAAGTCAGAAGAACCAATCAAAACCCAGGCCCTTCAGCCTTGTTGGCCAATTGGCATGGAGACCCTCAGTCTCCCCCTGCCAACTCTAAAGAACCAATCAGGACTCCATAACTCTAACCCAGTGGGCACCCAGACTAAGTCAGTATCCAGATCAAACCCAGGCCTCCTATCCAATTAGAACCCACAGCCCTCAGTCCTAAGGACCAATAAGCATCAACTCTTCATCAGCCTTTCCCTCCTCTGTCCCAGTCAGGGCAACCAAACGGAATGGGGATCCCTCAGTTTTTCTAGGCAGTTAGTATCAGGCCTACCCTACATCCAAGTATCCAATCTGTCCTGGCCCCACTCAAATCAAGCAGTGCTATCCTCAGGCTCATCATCCAATCATGAATGATAATAAACCATGAACCAATCACAACCTCCCTCTTCATGGTTTCTAGCTTCCAAACCTTTATCCATGCTGTGCCCCCTTCCTCACTCACTTCTGTTCCCCACTGAGCAGTGAAGAGCGAGCCTTTTGTATACTTCCTACTTTTATTTGATAATAACAAACTATATAAAAAGGGACAAGGAAGGCGGGGAGGCCCTGGATCTCCCCCTCTCTGCTTCCCCAAGCATCCCCCGCCCCTAGGCCCCAGCAGGGACCACTCCCTTCCCGCCTTGTGGTGGGGTGGGGATTGACAGGCATGGAAATGGTGTGTGTGTGTGTGTGTGCGTGTGCGTGTGTGTGTGTGTGTTGGGGGGTCAAGGATGGAGAGAGGGTCAAGAATTAGAGAGAGGGCCTTCCCTCATCCCCCATCAGAGCTGGCACCCTGAGGAGGGGTCTTGAGAGAGTTGTGAGGGTCCACAGATGTGCCTCAGCCTATGAGACGGTAGAAGATCCAGCATCCAAAAGTGACCCAGTGACTGGCCCAGCTGAGCTCTGACCATTTGTGGACAGTGTATGCCATGCCGTAGCCCTGTAGGAGAGAAAGCGGTGATGGTCGGTCCCACTCAGCAAGAACAAAGAAGGTCTCAGGAAAACCTATCCTTTGCTCAAGGACGTTTCTGTGACTCCACTGCAACCCTGAGTGAGGCCCCAGAGAAGAGACTGGGTACATATGAAAGGTAAGCAGATTTAGTTTTTTTCTTTTGTATTTTCTTCTCTTTCAAAAATTTAAAAAACGAGACAAGGCAATCCCACTCTCTGACCTGTACTCTCCCTTATATATAAAGAGCTCCTAGAAATTGATTTTTTAAAAAGACAAAAATTAGCAAAGGAGGTGAGTAGGCCATTTTCAGTAAAGGAAAAAAAAAACCCAAATGGCTCTTAAATATATGAAAAGATACTCAGCCTCACTCATCATCTTCCTCCACTCAAACTGGCAAACATATCAATGAGGTCTGAGAGGCACTCTGTTGTCGGGGCGTCAAGCACGATCACATACTGCTGGTGGGAGGGCAAAAAGGTAACTTCTCCATTGCTGTCAAGACTAGATCCTACAGCTCTGTCTGCACCTATGTGAATCCACATGGATGTGAGGGTATTACTTGCTGCAGCACCACTTACCATAGGAAAAGAGTGGGAATCACCTGGGTGTCCACCAATAAGGGACAAACTACATTGTGTCACAATGGAAAAAATGAACAAGGACACTATGTCTTCATGTGGAAGGTTTTCAGGAATTATGTGAAAAAAGCAACAGGCAGCACAGTGTCATTCATGTGTTACCTTTAGGGTAAAAAGCAGGGGGGAGGGAATTAAAATATATTTTTATATCTGCTTATTATGCTTCAATTTAGAAGGATAGTTTAATAAAATGAATAAAAGTGGTTACCTGTAAGAGAGTGGGGGTAAGACGGCAGGAATAAGACTTTCCCCTAAATATCTTGAATACTGTTTGGTTTTTCAACCACGTGATATGCATTAACTTTTTTTTTTTTTTTTTTTTTTTTTTTAGAAATAAGTCACTTCCTGTTCTACAGAACTGCATAGTAAAGTGACCTGCTCTCCATGCCTAGAATAAACAGTGTTCATATTAATTGGAAACATTCCAATTTATTATTTGGAGAATACTTTCATCATAAAAAGGTTAAAAAATAGAGTTGGACATCACTATTCCAATATGAGAAGAGTTGCAGAATGTAAAAAAAAAAAAAAAAAACACAAAACCCCCTAGGTTTTTTTTTTTTTTTTTTTTTTTTTTTGTCATGCTGCGTGGCTTGAGGGATCTTAGTTCCCCGACTAGGGATTGAACCCTAGCCCCGGCAGTGAAAGCGCCGAGTCCTAACCACTGGACAGCCAGGGAATTTCTTTAAATTTTTAATTGAAAATAAAACTTTATATTATTTTATATTTTGTCATTAAAAACAATTTTTAATTTTTTATTCAGGTTGAATGTGCAAAATCTGGGTTTTGCTTCTTTTTAAATAAAATTTTTGTTTTATTTTTATTAAAACTTTAAAAATAGTTAATGCAGGGTATTCCATGACTGTCCAGTGGTTAGGACTCGGCACTTTCACTGCGGGGGCCAGGGTTCAATCCCTGGTCGGGGAACTAAGATCCTGAAAGCCACCTGGAATGGCCAAAAGAAAAAGAAAAAAAATGAACTGAAAGAGAAGCTAAACCGGGATCCTGCTAGTGCCATACTAGTATATACATTTTAACATACACTATTTTTTTTTTTTTTTTTTTTTGCAATACGTGGGCCTCTCACTGTTGTGGCCTTTCCCGTTGCGGAGCACAGGCTCCGGACGCGCAGGCTCAGCGGCCATGGCTCATGGGCCCAGCCGCTTCGCGGCATGTGGGATCTTCCCGGACCGGGGCACAAACCCGTGTCCCCTGAATCGGCAGGTGAACTCTCAACCACTGTGCCACCAGGGAAGCCCAACATACACTTTTTAAGTAGAATCCAGGATTTGCACAATCAATGTAAGTAAAACTATTTTTTTAACGAATTAAATAAAGAAATCTTGCGAATTCTACCTAAATAAAAATATGATGAAATAATTAACTTTTAAAAAAGTAAAACCTGGATTTTGCACTCCATCTCTAGAAAATAAATTTTATAAGTAAAATAAATGTATTTTGCACACTTCGCCCAAGTAAAAGACCCAACAGTATGAATCAACCAGAGGGACAAGGGGACAGAAGGATGGTAGAGCAGTGGCTACACAAGCTGGAGACAGATGACACAAGGTTCCCATGCCTTGGCCTCCCCACCTTTGTCCTCATGGTTCCCATGAATAGGTAGCATATCCCTGGGTAACCCCGAGCCCAGGGCCCCACCTCACCTGCTCCTCTGTGGTGTCGTCCACATCAACATCAAACAGGGAGCCCAGGTAGGCCAGGTGGAAGATGGCCAGGGCCCCAAAGAGAAGGTTTAAGGCTCGCACCCCCAGGCCCTGTGGGGGACAGATGGATATGCTTGGCAGCTGGACCTAATCACCATCGCCCAGCCCCACTTGGGCAGGGGCACACAGGGAATTGCACAAGGCACAGGAATGAGGATGTCCAGGGCACCCACCCCCAGGGTAGGAAAGAGATGGTTCTGATCCTCCTATGGGAGCTCAAGGGGTATCCAAGGATGAGGGTACTGTTAGCATGAGAGCGTCTAGGTTGGGGGAGATGTGAGTATTCAGGCAGAGGAGGAAAAATGGTGGGTAGGGCTTTGAGTTGGGGCTTTATGGTGATAAACATTGGTTGTCAGGTGGGAGGGAAATCTGAAATTCTCCATACTTCTTGTTGCAAAAAGAATGAGAAAAAAAAAAAGACTCAAACGAAAGCAAATCCCCACTGTGACCTACAGGGCCCACCTCTCCCAGTCTCACTCACTCTGCTCAAGCCATACCGGCCTCCTCGCTGTTCCTCAAATACTCCAGGCCCTCTCCCATCTCAGGGCCTTTACACTGGTTGTTGCCTTTGCCTGGAATGCTTCCCTCCCTCACCTCCTTCAGTTAAAGAACTCAAAAGTCACCTCCCCATTTAAACTTGAAACCACTCAGCCCCTGATACTTCCCTTTCTCTTTCTCTTATGTATTTTCTCCTTGGCACTAATCACGATCTAACAAACTATTATACTTTACTTATTTTTTATTTACTGTCTTCCCTGTTAAAATGTTTGTCCCAGAGGGCTGGGACTTTGGTCTGTTTTGTTCACCACTGTGTCTCCAGCACCTTGAACAGTGCCTGATACCAGCAGGTGCTCAACAGATGTTCACTGGGGAAAATAAACGCTAGGTGGGTATATAGCAGTTGCTTGATAAATGTTCGTTAGATAACTGGATGCCAGTGAATAGAGGTGAGGTTATGGGGGTGGATCGGGCACTGGAAGAGGAAGCTGGGCACCCTGAGACAGATGTAAGATGGAGACAGAAGTAATTTTTGAGGGGGAAAGTTGGACAAAAGGCTGCCTAGGCTGAACCCTCACCAAGCGATGCTGGTGTGAACAGTCTGGTGGGCACCGTTTCGACAAGATGCAGGCACTGAGGATCCGAGCCAGGCGCTTTCGGAGGACTAGGGCAGATGCGGGGTGGGCGGGG